GTTGAAAAAGAAAACCAAAGCTGGAGGTATCACAATCCTGGACTTTAACCTGTATTACAAACTTGTAATCATCAAGACAGTATGGTACTGACACAAAAACAGACACATAGATCAATGGAACAGAATAGAGAACCCAGAAATGAACCTACAAATATATGGCCAACTAATCTTTGACAAAGCAGTAAAGAGTATCCAATGGGAAAAAGACAGTCTCTTTAGCAAATGGTGCTGGGAGAACCGGATAGCAACATGCAGAAGAATGAACCTGGACCACTTTCTTACACCATACACAAAAATAAACTCAAAATGGGTAAAAGACCTAAATTTGAGACAGAAAACCATCAAAATCCTACAGGATAAAACAGGCAGCAACCTCTCTGACCTAGGCCACAACAACTTCATACTTGACATGTCTCCAGAGGCAAGGGAAATAAAAGCAAAAATGAATTATTTGGACATCCTCAAGATAAAGAGCTTCTACACAGCAAGGGAGACAATTAACAAAACTAAAAGGCAACCAATAGAATGGGAGAATATATTTGCAAATGACATATCAGATAAAGGGTTAGTATCCCAAATACATAAAGAACTTACCGAACTCAACACCCCAAAACCAAATAATCCAGTGAAGAAATAGGCAGAAGACATGAATAGACACTTCTCCAAAGAAGATATCCAGACGGCAAACAGACACATGAAAAGATGTTCAACATCACTCGTCGTCAGGGAATTACAAATCAAAACCACAACGAGATACCACCTCACACCTGTCCTGTCAGAATGGCTAAAATTAACAACTCAGGCAACAACAGATGTTGGCAAGGTAGTGGAGAAAGAGGAACTCTTTTGCTCTGCTGGTGGGAATGCAAAGTGGTGTAGGCACTCTGGAAAACAGTATGGGGGTTCCTCAAAAAATTAAAAATAGAATTACCTAATGACCCAGCAATTGCACTACTAGGAATTTCACCAAAGGATACAAAAAGGCTGAATCGAAGGGGCACATGCACCCCAATGTTTATAGCAGTGCTATCAACAATAGCCAAAGTATGGAAAGAGCCCAAATGCCCATCGATGGATGAATGGATAAAGAAGATATAGTATGTATACACAATGGAATAATGCTGGACAATGAAAAAGAATGAAATCTTGCCATTTGCAACAATGTGGGTGAAACTGGAGGATATTATGCTAAACGAAGTAAGTCAGTCAGAGAAAGATATCATATGATTTCACTCATATATGGAATTTGAGAAACTCAACAGATGAACATAGGGGAAAGGAAGGGAAAATAAGATAAAAACAGAGAGGAAGGCAAAGCATAGAGAGTCTTAAATACAGAGGACAAACTGAGGGTTGCTGGAGAGGGGTTGGAGAGTTGGGTTAAATGGGTGATGGGCATTAAGGAGGGCACTTTTCAGGATGAGCAATGGGTGTCATATATAAGAGATAAATCACTGGGTTCTACTTCTGAAGCCAAGACTATACTGTATGTTAAATAACTTGAAAATAAATTAATAAAAATTTTAAAAAATAAAAAAATGAAGTATGGATGCTAAAATTTTAACCACTAGTAGAATATAAACATAATGAATAACTTCCAAATTAATAGAGGAAACAAGAAAAAATGTAACAGAAGGAAAAGAAAATAAAAAACACAAGAAAAAGGTTAAATACAAACACAAAACAAATGGTAGCTATAAGTCCAAATATTGCACATTATAATAAGTATAAGTGGATACAATTTACCTATTAAGAAAAGACAGAGACTCTGAAATTGGATTTTAAAATTCTAGCTACATGCTATTTAAATAAACATTTCAAAAACAGAATGACACCCAGATATTAAGGGATGGGAAAAGTTATAATAGGCAAATACTAACAACAAGAAGAGTTGACATAATAGCATTTAAGCAAATAAATATTTAATAGAAAAAAATTTGCCAAGAAATAGCCTCTTTTAAAAAAATGTTTATTTTTGAGAGAGAGCACACGTGAGCATGTGAGTGGGGGAGGGGCAGAGAGAGAGGGAGACAGAGAATCTGTCAGTGCAGAGCCCGACGTGGGGCTCAAACTCATGAACTATGAGATCATGACCTGAGCTGAAGTTGGAGGCTTAACCAACTGAGCCACCCAGGTGCCCCAAGAAACAGGCTCTTAACTACTGAGAACAAACTGATGGTTACCAGAGGGGAGGTGGGTGGGGGGTAGGTGAAATCGGTAATGTGGTAATACAGATCAAGGACTGCACTTGTCATAATGAGCACAGGGTGATGTATGGAATTGTTGAATCACTGTATTGTACACCTAAAACTAATGTAGCACTGTATGTTAACTATACTGGAATTAAATTTTTAAAAAATGCTTGCAATGCAAAAACAAAGCAAAACAAAACAAAACAAAAGACAGCCAGCTTGCTAGGAGATTGTGCTAGTCACTTCTTTCAACATTATCCCATTCTCATCTCTAATAAAGAACTTTGATGCTTCATGAAAAAAATAAATAAAAAATTTCACTAAGACTAGGAAAGTCCCACCTCAGCCCCCAGAAGCTTGAAAACAGTAAAAGAATTTTTAGAAATATTACTTATGTTGACTCTTGTGAAAATAAATAAAAGAAGTATCATTAAACCTGGAGTTGGGAAGCCCTAAAGAACAATCTCTCACACACTACCATCCCTCCATAAGAAACCATAGCTTGCATTCCCCAACAGGAAGAAACTTACTTTATATACCCCAGCAGGAGGAAGAATTTCTTCCTGCCCATCCACAGCCCAACCAGTGAGAAACCACCACACTCATCCAATGAGAAGCCATAACAGCCCCTTCTAGCTTCCTCCTTTTGCCTATAAAAAAGCAAGCCTCTCCTCTGTTCTGGACTTGCCTATGCTTTGCCATAAGTTTCCTTGTCCCCATTTGCAATTCTTTGCTATTCCTGAAGCTTATTTTGCTTTTAAAAAGCTGACACTTTTTTTTTTCTGTATTTTTTTTATGGTCAACAGTCTTTAAAATTAACCTTCATATCTATCTAGCAAGTCTTTTTTAATTGGGTAGAAACTGATTTTCATTCGTGGAGTGAAAATACAGATTTATTATCTTATACTTTTTCTTCCACCTGAATAAAAAAGGGTGCATAAATATAAAGTAGAAAAGCAAGGAAGCAAATAACATGATCAGATTTATATTTTATAGCCATCTCTATTGCTGCTACTAAAAGATTACAGAGGGCAGGGAGATAACCTAAACTCTCAGCTGGAAAATACAGACTACAGGGGCACCTGGGTGGCTCAATCGGCTGAGTGTCCGACTTCAGCTCAGGTCATGGTTTCACAGTTCATGAGTTCAAGCCCCTTGTCGGCTCTGTGCTGACAGCTCAGAGCCTGGAGCCTGCTTTGGATTCTATGTCTCCCGCTCTCTCTGAACCAACCCCGCTTGTGCTCTCTCTAAAATAAATAATACACATTAAAAAAATTAAAAGTAAAATAAAAATACAGACTACAAAATGATACATACGCAGTTAGCCCTTCACCAACACGTTTGAACTGTGTGGGTCCACTTATATGTGGACTTTTTTTCAAAACAGTACAGGACTGTAAATGTATTTTCTCTTATGATTTTCTGTTTTTTTTAATATTTATTTAATTTTTTTTGAGAGAGAGAGGAGGGGTGGAGAGAGAGGCAGAGAGAGAATCCCAAACAGGCTCCACACCGTCAGTGCAGAGGTGGATGTGGGGTTTGAACTCATGAACCAAAATCAAGAGTCAGACGCTTAACTGACTGAGCCACCCAGGCTCCCCTCTTAGGATTTTTTTTTTTTTAATTTTAATGTTTATTTATTTTTGAGAGAGAGAGAGAAAGAGAGAAGCCGATGTGGAGTTTGAACTCAGGAACTGAGAGATCATGACCTGAGCCAAAGTCGGACCCTTAGCCGACTGAGCCACCCAGGCGCCCCTATTTTGTTTTTTAAGTTTATTTATTTTGAGAGAGACAGAGCGCGAGTGGGGAAGGGGCAGAGAGGGAGAGAGAGAATCCCAAGCAGGCTCCAGGCTGCCAGCGAAGAGCCTGATGTGGGGCTTGAGCTCATGAAACTGCGAGATCATGACCTGAGCCAAAACCAGGAGTCAGACGCTTAACTGACTGAGCCACCCAGGCACACCATGATTTTCTTTTCTTTTTTTAAAAAAAAGAAAAATTTTTTAAATGTTTATTTATTTTTTGGGAGAGACAGAGACATAATGCGAGTGGGTTAGGGGTAGAGAGAGAGGAGACACAGAATCCGAAGCAGGTTCCAGGCTCTGAACTGTCAGCACTGAGCCTGATGCGGGGGTCGAACTCACGAGCTGTGAGATCATGACCTGAGCCGAAGTCAGACGCTCAACTGACAGCCACCCAGGCGCCCCACCATGATTTTCTTAATAACCTTTTCTTTAGCTTTATTGTAAGAATACAGTATGCAATACATATATAAAATATGGGTTATTGTTAAAGCTTCCAGTCAGTTGTAAGCTATTAGTAGTTAGGTTTTTGGAGAGCCAAATGTTATATATGGATTTTTGACTGTGTGTTGGGGGGGGGGGGGAAGGGGGCACATGGGGGCGGAGGGTCAGCATCCCTAAGGCCACATGTATAGGATTAACTGTCTATCTTCAGCTCTAAAAAAATACTGGAACCAAGCTATACTAAAATTAGCAATCATTATATTAGGTAGAATTATTGGTAATTTTAATTTATTCTTCATGTTTTTCTGGATCTTTCAAAATGATTACAATAAACATAGTATTTTTATAATGAAGAAAATGTTACTTTAAAAAAGTAGGTATTTCTATAAATTTTCTTTACATAGGAATAGGAAGGAAATCTGAATATTATAAGATGAAAATTCACTAAATTTTTTAATGGAAATTCAACAGTATTTCAAATGGACTAAATTTTAAATTTGATTGCTTTCAACCTTTAGGACTTTAAAAGCTCACCTAAATATTTAGGGGTGATATTTTCTTCCAGGAGCTTGATCAAAATGCCACTGAAAAGGTCCAGGCAATGTTCACAGCCATTGACGAGCTCTTGTATGAGCAGAAGTTGAGTGTGCATACTAAGAGTCTACAGGAAGAGTGCCAACAATGGACATGCAGCTTTCCTCACCTCAGGTATTAAAGCCCTAGATCTGGCTTGTATTCATGGCTAATACTAAAATTTGAAAAGCAGATATCTAGGGGTGCCTGGATTGCTCAGTTGGCTGTGTCCGATTCTTGATTTCGGCTCAAATCATGATCTCAGGTTGTGGGATTGAGCTCCACGTCAGGCTCCACTGAGCATAGAGTCTCCTTAAGATTTTCTCCCTCTGCCCCTCTTCCTCACTGTCCTCTCTGTCTCTCTAAAATAAAAAAAAAAATTAAAAAATATTTTTAAAAAAGCAGATATCCAAAAAAAAGCTTGTATTCTGAAATCTTTATGGACTTGGTTTTAATGAATGTAAATAAGGCCATATGGTATAAAGACTGCACTGAGAGAAAACTGAAGTTGATGGAAGTTTCTTAGAGTGTTCATAACTACCACTATGTTGTCCTAATTGAGAAAAACAGTTCCTTTACCTTGTAGCTGAGATCTATGCATTGTGGCTGTCCAAAGATCTATTCTTTGGAGCAAGAGGGTCAGAAAATGTATTTGTTTACACTGTTGTCTACAAGAAAATTCTTACACAAATTTAAAAGCAGACATAAGCTGTTAGGAAGCTTCCCTCACTTACTTCCCTTACTTATATAGTAAGTGTAGTAACTATAGTAAGTTACTATACTTACTACTTAAAATTTATACCTAAAATTTATATAGCATCATGTTCTTAAGAATATAATTTATAGTTTTCACTAATTTGGCCTGGCTTTCATCCATTTTAGCAGATTTAATGAAGATTATTGTAGAGGATGGAGGGAAAATTACAAATTTTTGCTCAGTTTCCTTGGATTTTTTCAGCAGTGTGAGGCTATAGCTTTATCTTTTCCATATCTATTCTGTGGAAGAGAGCTATAACCTGTAATAAGATTCTGGATTCACATTTTTCTCTTAAGAATCATTCTTAATCAGTAGCGTACTAAGTATGCACTGGACTTTTATAGAGAGCCATCATATTTGTTCCAAGAATATCTACATTTTGTATGTATGCCAGGTGAACGTGCTTGATTGTCTCTTTATGTTGTTCATTTTGAAGGATCCTGGGTAGGCAGATAATCACTCCAAGCGAAGGATATGGACTGTATCCTAGATCCCCTTCTGTTGTTTCAGTTTCACATGAGACAACACTTTCTCAAGAAAGAGATTCTACTATGTAAGTATTCCTAATATGTAAGTATTTATGTATCCAAAGTGTTATATTCTGCCAGTTATACTAGGGGATTAAAAAACTTATGTTTTACTTGATGGTATTTAATAAAGCACAGAAAATGCTGTTAAGATTGACCACAGTTTTTATGCATAGAGAATTTTATTATATAATTTTTTTGTTCAAAAAGTAAGTCATTCCCTAGGGTTTAAGGATACTTTTGTTATTCAGATATATCTCTATCTCTATCTCTATCTCTATCTCTATCTCTATCTCTATCTCTGTCTATGTCTCTATCTCTATGTCTCTATCTCTATATATTTATAGATACAGGCATTTCCTTCTTGAAATAAAGTGTAGATAGACTGGTTTCAGGAGATTTAGGAGTTTGAGAAACACACTTTAAAGATTTTTTGAAAAAATACTGAAAAAGTAATTTTTCTTAAACATATAATATTAATTACAACTTAATTTCTTTACAGAAGTTAAACTGCTATTAGTTCATTAACTTAAAATGGGTAATTAGTATATTTAAAATATCTAAATTCTTTTGAACACCTCAAACTCTTTAAACAACAGCAAAACAAACCAAAATAGGATTGTTCCACTCTCTTACATCATACACAAAAATACATTCAAAATGGATGAAAGACCTGTGAGACCTGAAACCATAAAAATCCTAGAGAACACAGGCAGTAACCTCTTTGACATTGGCTGTAGCAACTTCTTTCTAGATATATCTCCTGAGGCAAGGAAAACAAAAGCAAAAATAAACTATTTTATTTCATCAAAATAGAAAGTTTCCACACAGTGAAGGAAACAAATCAACAAAACTAAAAGGCAACCTATGGAATGGGAGAAATTTGGAAATATTTCCAAATATTTTAAATATTCTTCTTAAATATTTGGACATATTTCCAAAATTTGTTCAAGTCAGATTTTCCCACTAGCCTTGCTGAAAAGTGCCACAGGTTTATTCTTTTTTTTTTTTTTCATTAAAAAATACTTAAGGTACAAAAGTATAAAGAATATCACAAAATATACATTGGTTAGATTTAATATTTTGTTAAACAGAGCCATTTAAAAAAACTGTACTGCTCAGATTTGACTGGTTTTCTCCAAAGTAAAGATTCTGAACTGAATGAGTCATCATATATTCATTGAATATCTGGGTAGGAAGAGAAATTTAAATATAAATAAGAGAAGATCCCTGCCCTTAAGGCATATGCATTTTGAACTATGGTGGAGTTACTGAAATAAGCATATTATCTCCTGAGGTACCTGAAAGTTGTAATTATTAATATTCTTAATTTTTCATCAATTTTTTTATTGAAAGAGACTTAAATATAAAATACTGGTATCAGGTGTACATCATAGTGATTCAGCAATTATATAAATTACAAAATGCTTACCACAATAAGTATAGTTACTATCTGCCACCAAAGTTATTACAATATTATTGATTATATTCCCTATGCCATACTTCTCATTCCTGTGACTTATTTTATAACTGGCAGTCTGTACCTCTTAATACCCTTCACCTATTTTGCCAACCCTCCAATCCCTATTCCCTTTAGCAATCACCAGTTTGTCCTCTGTATTTATGAATCTGTTTGTTTTGTTTTGTTTATTCCTTTTTCTTGGTTTTTAGATTCCATGTTTAAGGTAAATCATATGGTATTTGTCTTTTCCTGTCTTATTTCACTTAGCATTATATGCCCTATGTCCATCCATGTTGTAGCAAATGTCAAGTTCCAACCTTTTTCATGGCTGAGTAATACTCCATTGTATATACATACCACATCTTCTTTATCCATGAATCTATCTGTGGACACTTAAGTTGCTTTCATATCTTGGCTACTGTAAATAATGCTGCAATAAACATAGGAGTGCATGTATCTTTTCAAATTAATGTTTTTATTTTCTTCAGGTGGAATTCAGTGGTGGAATTACTGGGTCATATAGTATTTCTATTTTTAATTTTTGAGGAACCATAGTGGCTGCACCAATTTACATTCCCACCAATAGTGCATGAGGGTTCCCTTTTCTCCATATCCTTGCCAACACTTGTTATTTCTTGTGTTTTTGATACTAGCCATTCTGACTGGTTATTCTTAAATATTTTTAAACTTATCTCATAGCCTTAGCTGTTGCATCTGAAAAGACAGCAAATAGTATTTGATACTGCACAGTACACCTAGGCAGAGTAGGTCTATGGCTAGTGTTTATTCTTTCTGTTCTGAGAAACAATAGGTATTAAGACTATGAATAGTCTGGGGAGATGTCAGCAGGGCAAGGGATTTTGAGCTGAAACTCGTATGACTGAATTGCTGTAGGAACTGTTTATGTTATATACAATTAATAATTGCTTTTTCCTCTCCCAGATTTGGTATTAGGGGAAAGAAGTTACATTTTTCATCTTCTTATGCTCACAAAGCATCTCCCATTGCCAAATCCCCTAGTGTGTATTCTATGGAAAGAGAGGAGGAAGACTGTATAATCTTCTCTGAAGGAATAATAGAGGAATACCTAGCATTCGACCACACTGATATGTGAGTGTTAAGTATTTTAAGCTTTTTACTCCCCTCCTATTTTGTGTATTAATATCTATTTTTTTCTAATGTTTATTTTTGAAAGACAGAGCATGAGTGGGGGAGGGTCAGAGAGACAGGGAGACACAGAATTGGAAGCAGGCTCCAGGCTCTGAGCTGTCAGCACAGAGCCTGACAAAGGTCTCAAACTCACAAGCTGTGAGATCATGACCTGAGCCAAAGTCAGATGCTTAACTGACTGAGCCACCCAGGCACCCCTCTATTTTTTCTAAAGTATACTACTCAGGGACACCTGGTGACTCAGTCCATTGAGTGTCTGACTCTTAATTTTGGCTCAGGTCATGTTCCCAGGGTTGTGGGATTGAGCCCTGCATTGGGCTCTGTGTTGAGTGTGGAGCCTGCTTGAGGTTCTCTTTCTCTTTCTCTCTCTCTCTCCCTCCCTCTGCTCCTCCTCTCCCCCACTCATGCTTGCTCTCTCGCTAAAAATGGATTGAAAAAATAATAAAATCTACTACTCAGAACTGCCCCCCCAAAAGACAGAAAAAAAAACACAACCAAACAAAATATAAAGTACACAACCAATATTACATATAATTAGATTGATGTCACTTGGTTATTTATTTCCTATTACTTCCGAGGTATCCAGAGTTCATGTGCTTAGTTGATGTAAATTCCTATTGCTTCCACATACCAGACTCCCTTGTGTATTTTCTTCCTGAATGTGTTATTTGCCTCTTCCTGAGATTAAACATTTTTAAATGAGTTAATTTCTTTCTTCACATAATTTGATTTTACCTTTTGTAAATCATCACCAGTTAATTCATGGAAATCTGAAGCTTTTCAAAGGAGCAGTTGAAGAGGTGTGAACTTTGTTTACGTAAATCCTTTTTGAAAAGGTATACACAGTTTATATGAAACCTTATACTTAGCACAGACTTTACAATTAATAATGCTTGTTTATATCCATTCTTATTGTATTCTGACAATAGTCCTGTGACACAGATATTATTTACCATCTCTATAGGATAGGTGAGAATCAGAGTGGTTAAATGATTTGTCTGAGGTAAAGCTAAGACCTAAAACCTTATTCATCTTACTCTAAATCCAGTGCTCTCTTCACTATCCTATGCTACCCTTCTGAAACATTAACCTCTTAAGCTATTCCTCCAAGCCTTTAAAAGTTCCAGAGCGCAACAAGTGGGAGAGAGGCAAAGAAGGAGGGAGAGAGAGAGAAATCCCAAGCAGGTTCCACACTGTCCACTCAAAGCCTGATGTGGGGCTCGAATTTATGAACCGTGAGATCATGACCTGAGACCAAGTCGGACGCTTAACCAACTGAGCCACCCAGATGCCCCAAAAGAAAATGGATTTTAAATAAAGGAAATAAAATTCAATCTCATTCACAATTACCAGTGCAAATTAAAACTATAACAAGATACTATTTTATCTGTCAGACTGGCAGAGAAAACAAAGAAGTTTGATAATTCCTTGAATGGAAAAAAGGCACATTTTTTCAACACTGAAGATTATCTCTCTTTAGAGGAAAGTGGGCAATATCTTTCCATTTTAAATGCATATACAATTTCACTCAATAATTCTATTTATAGGAATTTATCCTACAGATATAATACCCATGTAGCCAAAGAACTACATACAAGAATATTAAATGTCCTATTGACTATAAGAACAAAAGCCTGGTTGATCAATAACTGGATAGTTAGATATACTATGGTATATCCAGTAGAATTCTCTGCAGCTATTTTTTCAGAGGCGTATTCATATGTATTAATAGAGATGGAGGGCCAGATATATTTTTAAATAAAAGGCCACAATGCAGTGCAGTGTATAGCGTAACTATTTCCCTGGACCAATGTATAATGTTTGCTTCTGGGAATGGTGCCTGGGAGACAGAAATGTAAACTTATTTTTCACTACATAAATACATTTCCTTCTGTATAATGTGAATTTTTTTTCATCATATGAGAGTGTTATCTCCTATAAAAAATATAAATTTAAATACAATTAATACTAAATCAGCCTTCTCCCCAACTTAATGCCATGCCAGCTCTTCCTCGGGAAAGAAGTAAAGAGTCTTTAGCTGCCCTGCATAAACCTCTTAGCATCCTTCTTTCCTAGTTAGAGCTTCTTATTTAATTCTTGACACCTCTGCTACCCCAGGGATAATTTTCACGGGAGAGGGTAAGATATTTCTTCATAGCCCAAGTGTTCCAGAATTTGCTTTGTGTTAATTTATAATACATCTATCATAGGTAAGCATATCTGTCAGCTAGATCTTTGCCCCTCAAATACTGGGGCTGTTGGTACCCCCTTCCAGAGAAGAGACAGACTTGGCTGAGTTTCTGGACTACAGATAGCTACATGGTCTCCAAAAAGGCCTCACAGTAGCTTCTTGTCTCCTTTCCCTTTCCAGCCAAATGCCAATTGTTTGTTTGGATTAATAAAAGTACACTATTTCTCTAATGAATCACTGCCTCAAATAACTATGTGACACAGTCACATGCCCATCATTAAATGGTACACGAATAGTAATCTAAATGTTATCCAGTCACAACAAAAAGATTATTTCTGTATGCCTGTCATAGCTTATTGCTCAACTGACAATGTTCACTGTTCAAAGCTAAAAAATACACAATGAGACCTCAGTCTTGTTTTTCTTATTCTTTTTTTTTTTTTTTTTTTTTTTTTTTTTGGCAGAGTAGTGGGGTGGGGTGGAGTAAAAAGGGAAATTCAGTCTGTTTGAAAACTCCCTTAGGTCACAAGACAGTTTAACACATATGCTACATACATATACTGAGCTACATACATATACATGTGGGGAGGGGACACAAATCACGCTCCTGGAGAAGCACAAAACACAGTGGTGAACACTCAGTAAAGAATAACTAGGAAGTCTTATTTGCTTCTGTTACAGGGAAGAGGGGTTTCAAGGAAAGAAATTACACGCATCTCCAGAGAAACAGAAATTAGGGTACCCTCCCATTGCTCCATTTTACTGCATGAAAGAGGACGTCCTTGCTTATGTGTTTGACGACGTGTGGAGCAAAGTTCTGAGCTGTATGGAGCAGCTGACACGTAGTCATTGGGAGGGATTTGCTTCTGGTAAGGATCTTTGTGAAAACAACATCAAAAAATAATTATTTATGATTTCCAAACCCTGACTAGTCTTTCAGATTATATGTTTCATTACTGCAAAAGACTCATATTTGTATTTTCCACAGACACTAACAGATATTTAGACAATATTTGAAAATGAGTGGATGAGTAACAAGGCTATTCTATGATGACTATACTGTGTTTTATTTGAATATAATTATTTGTGAGAAAAAAGATGTGCAAGTGGCAAATACATTTTTTAAACTGCTCTACTTAAGAATAATTGATTATAAAATAAACCATTCATATTTAAAGTGTAAATTGGTCTATTGACCTATGTATACATGAAACCACAAAACAGTCAATATAATATATATAATACCTTTGTAATCCCTTTCTGCCCCTGCCTGACCCCCAATCCCCACGTGCTTTGTCACTATAGTTTAGTTTTTATTTTGTAGAGTTTCATATAAATGGAATTAGGGTATTTCCTTTTTGTAAGCTTCCTTCATTCAGCATGATCATTTTGAGATTCATCTATGTAAATGTGTGCGTCAGCAATTTATTCCCAAGAAGTGTTCCACTGTTGCACAATTTGTTTATCCATTTACCTGTTCATGGACATTTGGGTTCTTTTCAATTCGGGACTATAATATGCAAAGCTATTATGCACATTACTATGCAAGAATTTTTTGCACATACATTTCCTTTTCTCTTAGGTAAATTTCTAGGAGTGGAATGGTTTGATTATATGGTTAAATGTATATTTAGCTTTTTAAGAATTATTTTGTTTTTCTGTATTGCACAAAAAACTATCACAAACTTATCAGTTTCAAACAACATACATTTTTTATCTCACAGATTTGTGGGTCAGAAGACCAGAAGACTAAGCTAATGGCTTAGCTAGTTCTCTACTTAGGATCTCACAAAGCTGTGATCAAGGTGTTGGCCACAGCTAGGCTCTCATGAAGAGGCTCACTTAGGAACGGAAACACTTCCCCTTTTGTGTGTTCTTAGAAGTATTGAGTTTCTTGTAACTGTAGGAGTCACAGCAGCTTTCTTCTTCAAAGCCAGCAAGAAAGGCTGAGAGCTAGTCAGCAAAACAGAAGCTTATATAATGTAACATATTCATGGAAGTGACATCTCATCACTTTTACCATCTTCTGTTGGTCTGGAGTAAGTCACACTCAAAGGGATATTCTACAAAGATGTGAACACCGGGGCGCCTGGGTGGTTCAGTCGGTTAAGCTTCTCACTTCGGCTCAGGTCATGATCTTGCAGTCTGTGGGTTCGAGCCCCACATCAGGCTCTATGCTGACAGCTCAGAGCTTGGAGCCTGCTTCGGATTCTGTGTCTCCCTCTCTCTCTGCCCCTCCCCCTCTCATGTTCTGTCTCTCTCTGTCTCAAAAATATATAAAAACTAAAAAAAAAAAAAAAAAAAAGATGTGAACACCAAGAGGTAAGAGGGGCCACCTTAGAGTTTGTTCATTACAGTTCTCCCACTTGCCCCTAATGATTCCTGTGCTCCCACATGCAAAATACACTAAATTCCCAAGAGACTTATTATAGCATAGCTCAGAAGTTCAAAATATTATCATCTAAATTAGGTCTTGGTATGAATAAACTTCCCCATGAATGGATATAATACATTAAGTAAAGTTACTGGGGCCCAATTCTCTTCCATCTATATATCTGTGAAACTAAAGTCTATATACATAGGAATATAAACATCTAACTATATAATCCAACCAACCATTCCTGTCATAGAGAAAATTCGCCTTACCCCAACACACCCATCATACAATAGTGGGCCAAGGAAAGGATAACAGACATTCTAGATAAGGGAGGGGGGGTGGGCAGAAATGAAAGGTTAAGTGGCACCTGGGTGGCTCAATCACTTAAGTGTCTGACTCTTGATTTCGGCTCAGGTCATGATCTCATGGTTCATGAGATCGAGCCCAATGTCGGGCTCTGTGCTGACAGTGCAGATCCTGCTTGGGATTCTCCCTCTCTCTCCCTCTGCCCCCTACCCTACTCACAGTCTCTCTCTCTTTCTCTCTTTCTTAAAATAAATAAACATTAAAAAAAAGAAGGTTAAAAAAAAAAAAAGGTTTATAGTAATTCTGAAGTCCAGTTGGGAAAATACTGGGAGTTCTAGTCCTAGAAATAGCTCTCTGTTCCAACCTCTGGGCTCTTGGTTTTGCCCTCTGAATCATCCTTCCTTTTTCACATGTGTGAAAGCTAAGTAGTTTTATTAGACTGCTTCCTGGTAGTAGAATTTTGAGGGTCTGACAGCCTTCTTTCATTTACACTCTTTCACCATCTAGAGATACAAATTTTTCAAAATTATAAAGTCCTGGTTTCTTTACATTTAATATTTTTTCCATCAGTTTCTCTTCCTCATCTCATGTTTTATTGTATAAGTAGCAGGAAAAAAATCAGGCCTCACTTTCAATAACTTTGATTGGAACTCTTCTTAGCTATACAACCAGAATCATCACTTTAAGTCCTGCCTTCCACATGACCACAGGAGACCATTTCACTAAACATTCTTCCACTAAATAACAAGCACCTCCTTCTTCCAGTTTTTAATAACATGTTCCTCATTTCCTTCTGAACCCTCCCCTAGAGCATCCTCCAAATTGAAATTTCTACTAAGTCTGTTCAAGGCAATTTATGTTTTCTCTATCATGTTTCTCCAAATTCTTCTATCAATGAACAATCAAAAATGAAATTAAGAAAACAGTTCATTTCTAATAGCATCAAAGAGAATAAAATACTCAGAAATAAACTTACCCAAGAAAGTGTAAGACTTTTACACTGAAAACTACAAGACATTATTGTAAGAAAATAGGGAAGACCTAAAGAATTGGAAAGTCTTCCTGTGTTTTATGGATTAGAAGACTTAATATTGTTAAGTGGCAATACTCCTGAAACAGATTTGAGTGAATGTCCAAAATAATATAAAAAAGAACAAAGTATGAGGCTTCACATTTCCTGATTTTAAAACTTAGTACAAAGGTACATTAACCAAAACAGTGTGGTACTGACATAAGAATCGACATATAGATCAACAGAATAGCATCAAGAGTCTAGAAATAAACCCTCACATATACAGCCAATTGATTTTCAACAAGGGTGCCAAGACCATTCAATGGGAGAATAGTATCTTCAACAAATGGTGCTAAAACTGGATAACCACATGAAAAAGAATGAATTTGGACCCTTCTTTCACACTACATACAAAGTATCAACTCAAAATGGATCACAAACATACATTTAAGAACTAAAACTATAAAACTCTTAGAAGAAAACATAAGAGTAAATCTTAATGAGGTTGGATTTAGCAATGGATTCTTAGATATGACACCAAGACCACAAGCAACAAAAAAATCAATAGACTGGATTTTATCTTAAAAAAAAATAATCTATGTATCAAAGGATATTATCAAGAAAGTGAAAAGACAACCTACAGAATGGAAGAATATATATGCAAATCATACACCTGGTAAGATTCTAGCATCCACAATATGTAAAGTACAATTCAACAACAAAGGGACAAACAACTCAATTTAAAAATGGGCAAACAACTTGAATAGGTATTTATCCAAAGAAGATACACACATGGCCAGTAAGCATATGAAAAGACGTTCAACATCCTTATTCATTAGGGAAATACAAACCAACACCAAAATCACAATGAAATGCTACTTCTACCCACTATGATGGCTACATTAAAAAAAAAAAGAAGACAATAACAAGTATTGGTGAGTATGTGGAGAAACTGAAACACTCATACATTGCTGTGGTAAGGTAGAATGGTGTGGCTACCATGTAAACAGTTTGGTAGTTCCTCAAAAACTTAAACATAAGATTCCGTATGACCAGCAATTCCACTCAAAGTATATAACCAAGAGAACTGAAACCTTATCTGCAAAAAAGCCTGTGTATGATTGTTCACAGCAGCATTTTCATAATAGTCAAAAAGTTACAATTGACGCAAATGTTCATCAGCTATGAATGGAGAAACAAAATTTGGTATATACATATGTTATGGACTGAATTGTGTCCTCCTCAAAATTTATATGTTGAAGACCTAATCCCCAGTGTGAATGTTTGGAGGTGGGGCTTTTAGGAAGGTAATTAAGGTTACATGAAGTCATAAGCTGGGGACCTAATCTTATAGAGTTGGTATCCTTGTAAGAAGAGGAAGAGACCAAAGCCCCCTTTCTGTGCATGCACGGAAAAGTGGTAATGCAAGGACACAGCTGCCTACAAGCCAGATAGCACCTTGATCTTGAACTTCTGACCTCCAGAACTTTAAGAAAATAAATTTCTGTTATTTAAGCCATTCAGTCTGTGGTATATTGTTATAGCAGGATAAGTAACTAATGTACTATGCAATGTAATATTATTAGTTCATAAACTAAAATTAAGTAATCATGCATGTTACAACATGGATAAACCTTGAAAATATTATGCTAAGGGTAAGAAGCCAAACACAAAAAGCCACATATTGTATGATTTTATTCAGTTGAAATGTCCAGAACAGGCATATCCATAGAGACACAAAGTAGTTTAGTGGTTGCCAAGGGATATAGGGAGAAAGGAATTGGGAGGTATGTGGTGTCTCTTTGCAGTGATAGAAATTTTCTGAAATTAGATAGTGGTGCTGACTGCACAACATTGTGAATATACTAAAAACCAATTAATTGTGTACTGTAAAATGGTTAAAAATGGTGAATTTTATGTTATATGAATTATATTTCATTAAACATTTTAAAATATTTTAAACCTGTATGTAAATGTGAGTCTGTTGGTGATTAATTCTTTTATAGATATGAAAAAAAATTTTTAATTTATTCATTCTAAAAACAAAAGCAAAAAGTGTTCATCCATTTGTCCAACTCCCTATGCCCTGCCTCAGGCAACTACCAATGTCTTCTCTATATCTATGAGCTTGGTTTTATTTATTTATTTATTTGTTTGTTTGTTTGTTTGTTTAT